TTGTTGGTAAGACTTCGCAAGTAGCATCCATTGGCTAAAGCATCTACTTTATTGCTGAAAGAATCCCATTTGTCACTGGTCATTTTATCATAATCATAAATCTTTTTTGAAGGGATATTCCTTTTCTTGTTTTTGATATCCAAGAAATTTTCAACACTGAAAGTGACCATAGAATTGTCAGACAAAGAAGGGTCAACATCTAAGACTTCGCAGCTCGTGAAATGAGAAACAACTTCAGCTGAGGACCAAATGTAATCAATTTGTGACTTTGACATAGAACTTTGATGAGTAGGGTAATTACTTCAAGTTTGATCATATTTAACTGAGAACGTGTCAAATAGATGCAGATTGTTGAGTCGAGAGAATAAATTTTTATCATGTGAATGTAATTTAGGATTATCCATATCAATATTAAAGTTTCTAAGGAGTATCAGATGATAATTATTCGAGATCGCTTCTCTAATGAATTTAATGAGCTCAGTCTATATGGGTTTCCTACAATGAGGTTGCCTAGTGGAAGGTAGCAGTTAATAACTCTTAGTTTTTGTTTGTTGTTGAATTGCAAATCGACAATAATGATACAGTTGTATTTTGATTTGTGATAAAATATATGATTTGCCAAATAAGGGCGAACCAATAAACCAACACTGAAACCAGTTTTTTGACTGTGTGAGTCTGAAGGCAATCCAAAGAAGCCTGTATACGTTGATGAGAATGTGCTATTAAAGGATCGAATCGAAGATTGAGAAAAATTAGTTTCTTGAAGACCAATAATATCTAGTTTCAAAAAGAAATAAAATTCAATTAGTGAGTTTTACTTAGCAGCGTTAGTAAAAGAGCGAACGTTTTGTGATGCAAAAGAAATAAGTGAAGAGAAAGAAGGAGAGTCATTATTCATATTAGGATGTACATCTTATGTAAAATTATCTGTAGGGATAGTATTCATTAGGAACGGATTTAAAAAGATGGTAGTTCCTTGAGATAGTTTCCGACATCACTATCAAAAGCATCTCCAAATGGAAATAATGTATTGGCTAAGTCCTTAGGAAGCATATCGTTCTGTATGAGGATGAACTGAAATGTGGCACATGATTTAACTAAGGTATTAACGGTAGTTGTGAAGGATTTCAATCTGTGCTGATGCATTTCGTTGAGGTTTCTAAGACCTTCGATCATTTTTCTTTGTTGGATAATAATGGATGCTGATATATCGACGGAGGGTTCTACCTCATCAAAATCCATGATCTCAGGATCTGAGTTTTTAATATCCACTTCGAGGGGAGTGATGACTTTGATTTGAAGAGAATCTTCAACTGCTTTGACTCTTGTGATGGTGAAGTTTAAGTTCTTCATCAATTCACACAAATTCTCGTTGAGAGCAGAGAATTGTTGTCTGACAAAGGATTTAAAATCCTCATCATTATTCGCGTGCATTGAGCCTCCTTTCTTAGTACCATTACTGATATTATTAGGGGAGGTATAAGTATTCGAACACTGGTATGATGTGTTATATAGGTCGTCAGGAATATCATCAGACCACGATGCTATTGGGAGTTCTGATGCCTCATGTTTGTCAAGGTCCTTTTGATGTCCAGGAGGGGGTCTATCGGCATCTTTTTGTTGTTGATTCGTTTGTTTTTTTCGGATTCTAATGTTTTTGTCACGTGAGCGAAGGTGACATTTAGGCTCACTGCACCTTTGATGCCTTTATGGGAGCTTTGTAGTTATAAAACTGTGTGGGTTGAAATTGCTAATATAGTTGTTGTGTATTGCGGTCAGAAGGCGACTTGCGTTTTCTGGGACAATCATTCACTTTATAGTTGGGTGAGAAGCAGATAGCACATAGTTTAGCATTCGATTCTGTCCAAGTCATGTGTTTATTATCAATCGTAAGATTTTCGTTGCTGATTGCAGCTTCAAAATCATCAGCTGATTTGAAATAAAAAACGCGTGCTGGAGATTATGGTAATTCGATCTTGCTTTGGGAATAACCCAAGATAGGGCATTGACCATGTGTCCTATATCAGTGAGTTGTTTACCGTTAGTAAAACGAGGGAGACCAGCAAGTTTAGCTGAAAATTTCGACCTAGCAAGTATATCTTCACGAGATAAGTCGCACATGTGGCATCTAACCATGTCGTTAAGTACAAAAACTCTGTATTTCTTTTTTAATGCATTGAAATCCGTGTCGATGCTATAAGTGATTGTAGCTTGTTGCTAGAGATTCTTGGTTTTCATAAAAAATCTGACGATTTTTTCAAATTTAGAGAAAATCGTCTTGATTCTGTGTTCAGTGGCATCAAGGGGTATTTCTGTGACCTTGATTGATTGTTTTGGGACGTACAGATGTTGTGTTATTATCTCCAGTAGTGAGAATGAGCGATTTTCCATATCAGGTAAATTAACCTTGCATGCATGATCTTGGTAGTCTTAGTTACGGAAGGAGATCTTGATAATGCGTTCTGATTGGTTTAGGGGGTCTCTTATAGCTATTGCGCTAGTGAACAAATTGTATGCGTCGAAGAGCAGGTCGACAACAAAGAAGATTTTTTGTTGAGATGATTTCCCAGGAATATCGTTGAGTGGGAAAGACGCGTGGAAAGTTGCTTTGGATCAGTTAAAAGCTTGAGGTGATTTAGTATCATTGTCAAGAAAATTTTCAGAGAGGTCATAAGCTTCGACGACGTTGAGTGTTGTTTGAAAGATATCTTCTTCTTTGTTTTTTCCTTTGTCAAGAGGTTTTGGGTTGATTTTCATAGTTTCTGGAGGTACAACAATCGTTGAGCTACTTAGTGTTGGGATATTATTCTTTGTTTGCATTTGGTTTATTTTTTTTGTTGAACTTTTTGAAGTATTATTATTTGTATGTGAAGATGCTGAACGACCTCATTGTTCGGAGTTCTTTCTCTTAGGTGCCATTGTGAAAAAGGAGAAAGAGTTTTTTTTTTTTTTTCTTTTTTTTTTAAGTGCGGTAGATTCGCAAAAACTTTATTGAAAATAATTAATAAAAATTACATATATCAGAATTTACAAAAATCTCT